ATTTTTTAATATAAGTCCCTTATTTAAATTATATTATTCAGAAATTTATATTAATAGTCAAATCTCACCAATAATTTCTATTTTACAAATAACAAAAAGAAAAAAAGGAAAAAAAAAAAAAAAGGACTAGGAACTAGCCGTTTGCTTTCTAATAAACGTCCTGATTTCACTAATCAACAAAGAAGATTCAGGTAATTCTGACATACAGTAAAATCCATGGATGACATTTGGATATTCAACCAAATACACTTCTTTCCCACATTTCTTCAACCATTCGTAATATTTCATTTGCCAATCTTGTAATATATCAAACCCTCCGACACAAACCAGCGTCGCCGGGAAATGCAGTTCCGAAATATCCGCCCCATTCGGTCCAAAAACATTTACCGCTGGATGGTTCCGGTCAGCTTCTTCCGGCAAGAACGCCTTCCAATACCAATCCGCACGATCCAATGATAAACCCGGACTTCCGGTTAACCGCATTTCCGATTCCGTTCTTTCCTCCCCTCCAAAAAATGGTTGTATTGCTATGAGCCCAATAACATCCAAATTAGAAAACTCATATTCACCGGCTTTAACTGTCACGTGGTGAGCCACGTTCCCGCCGGCGCTATCTCCGGCGATAAAACACCATTCGAGATCAACTTTCGTTGAGAAATTTTCAAAATTCATACAATCAATAAATTTCAATGCGTCAAACCCGTCGTCGTATTGGCTGGGACACTTGTACTCTGGTGCCAAACGATAGTTAACGGAAATCACTACTGCTGGAATTTCTTTAGCAAGTCGTCTGCAAAATTGATCGAATTGCTTTGAATCTGCTGCCAAGAAACAAAACCCACCGCCGTGGAAGTAAACGACTACCGGCAAGCTGTATATAGTACTTCTAGAGGAATTGGTGGCGGGGACGTAGAGACGGAACCAGAGATTGTGATTAGGATCTATGGTTATATCAAAAGAGGAGACATCATTAATGGGTTTTGCAGAAGAAGGAGCTTTAGGGTCAAATAACTTAATAAAATTGCGGTTTATGGTGTAGTTTGATCGGCGAGCGGTGCTGGTGGCCAAGGAGAATGTGGCGAGGATAAGTCTCGTCTTCAATGGAAGGCGAGGCGATGATTTGAGTTTTGATGACATTTTTTGTTGTATTGGTTTTTGGTAATTTGTTTGAATCTAGTCCAAGTATAATGGTGCAATAGATCAGATATGCGTGTGGGTTGATTTACCGTCCGCCGTTATTGTAGAGGAAAGGTGACCGCAAATAGGTGATAACATTAAACGCCATTGCCAAATATGGTTGATTAGCATCCATTGATGTCCAATTTTGTAAAAGCACTACGGTGGAAATTGATTTTCACATGATATTTTTGACGTCTATAACCTTATTATTATTAATAGGGAAAATTATTATTTCGTCCTTGAGGTTTTACATAATTATTTAAGTAGTCCTCGACATTTATACATATATATATAACGTCCCTGAGGTTTGAAAGAATAAAGCACGTTAAAAAAGAATATATTTTTTTCTTTTTGATCTCTCTCCTGAATAAAATATTTAAAATTATAATGAAAATGAAAATAAAGATTTAAAAAAGAAAATATAAAAATGTTCAAATGTCTCGTTATCATATATATTTATTAAAAAATAAATCTTGAAAAGATAAAATTTAAATTTTGAAATTCTTAATTATCTATAAGTTAATAAAAAAGATACATAGTTTTTTTCTCTTTTAGCTTTTCTCTAATATAAAATTTTTAATTATAATAAAATTAAAATTAAAATTTAAAATAAATATAAAAATTTTCAAATGTTCATTCATATATATTTATTAAAAAATAAAGATTTTAAAAAGATAAAACTTAAATTGAAATTTCTAATTATTTATATTTGTACTTATTTATTAAAAAATAAATTTAAAAAAGATAAAACTTAAAATTTTGAAATTTCTAATTATTTATATGTACTTATTTAAAAAATAATTTTCATAAATTATACATAATCAACTAATAAAATATAATTTTTAAGCTGACTATGACTAAGATTATTTCAGATATTCCAAATTTCATTCTTTTAAGCTTACAAATAATTCTTGTTTTGAATAGAATTCTATAGGAGTCGTGTTAATATCTTTAATTGTCATGAAGTTACTTGCCAGAAAATTCTAATATTTAAAACTTATTTTTAAGTAATGTTTTATATATTAAGGGTTTGGACTTAATATGAATTATTTTTGAAGCAACCCATAGCAAATAAGTGCATTATATATAATTTTTCAAGCAAATTGTCCTCATATTATGGAATAAAAAAATGCAAGACATTCATTATATCTTTATGCGTTTGATTTTATATTAGACATAACCTTAAGTTAATTTTGAAAATTCTTTTAATTTTGATTGAATTTAATTATCTAATTAATCAAAGGATAAATTATACTTAATTTATACTTAATTAAATTAAGTATATTTTATACTTAATTAAATTATCTTAGGTTTTAATTTGGTTGCATTTAATTTATTTATTAACTGTAAGAATTTTTAAGCCACTTAAAAGTTGAATTAATTATCTATTTTGAAGTTTAATTTATTTTTAATTTACTAATTCAAAAGGTTTTCAACCTTTTTTAGAATAATCTAGGTTTTAATCTCGATTATTCAACTGAAATATTTAGGTGCTTTAATATATCTATCAAAATCACAATATTTATTTTAATAAGTGATATTTATTTCTTTGTTTTTACGTTTAATTATCTACATGTATTTATTCAAAAAATAATTTTTATTAATTATATTCGATAAACCAATAAAATGTAATTTTCTAATTGGCTACGATTAAGGTTATTTTAGGATCTTTAAAATTTCATTAAAGGCACTGTCGGCTCATTATTTTCCCCTATTTTCAAATTTATATATAGTATAAATTACAGATAATAGATAATAGATTATTGATTATTGATATAATATAATGATAACGATTTTCACAATAAGTATTATTAATATTATTAAGTCAGAATTATAAAAGGCAATTAAAATTTATATTATAAGATTTTATATCACTAAAATGAAGGATTTAATTTCATTTTGAATTCCACTCTACATTTAAAAAAGATAGTATTCAAATTTTGAACATTGATTTTCCTTAAAAATCATTAATATTTATTGACTCATATTTAATTCCTATTAAAGCTCAGTTAAACAAGGCAACTAATAATCAATTCAGGAAAGCAACTTTTTAAGCAATTTTAGCGATAAGTGCATATACAAATTGACAATAGATCCAGATTCAAATCCTCTCCTCAATGATCTAAAAAAATTTATTATTTTTAATAAAATCTGAAATTTTTCCTATACAAGTAAAAACCAAATACTTAAATCTTATACAATCTCACTTTTTAATAGAACGCAAGCATAGGAAAAAAGATATTTAAAAAGATATTAACGATTCTGGAAAAGCTCGGTAAAGTTGACATTTTTAAAGAAAAAAGATATTAGAAAATAATAAAATGCGAAAAACAAAGAAATAACAAATGGAGTAAAAATTTAGGTATTATACAATTTATTAAATAAAATGGTTTATTATAACTTTTTAATTAAAATTTCCAAACTAAATGCATCTGATTAAAAAAGTGTACTTCAAATTGATTTTTTAGTGCTTTAATTTCTATCCAATTCTTATACTTTGATGAAATTTTGAAAGTAATTAGACAGTCTCTCTATTTTGTTATAATTTAACTAAATGGTTATGTTATAAGAATTTTATTGAATTTTTTATTGGTCAACTAAAAAATAAATCAAAATACTTTGTGAAAATAATTTTTTTTTTAGAATAAAAGAAACTCAATTTTATTACCAAATTTAGCTAATAATTTAGTCTAAACATATAAATTGTTTGCTGCTTCCAAATGAATTTATATATACTTATAGCCTTTAAATGAGATTTGACCGCAATCAGTGTTTTTGGTAATGAATCCATTTATTGAATTTTCAATTTTCGTTTCAGCATTCCATTTACCGTTTCTAGTAAATTCATTTGGAGCAACTGAATTCAAAAAAAAAAAAAAAAATCTAGCGTAAATTATTTTCACTCTTCAATTCTCTTTCTATCATTATTTAGGTTTCAAGAAAAAGACTTACCCACATCAATATATATGGTTTTGTGTGAAAAATACTTACCTACATCCGACATATGAACTCATTTATACATCAAATTAATTATAAACGGTCTTTTAGTTCAAAAAAAATATTGCTAACCATATACTAAAAAAAATAAAACAATAATAGTTTTTTTAAAAAAATCTTTTTTAATTGGCTTGATGTAAAACGAACAATACACCATACACCGATTAGTGTACACAAGTCTTTTTTTAATAATATATATATTTCTATTTTTGCGTCTCTATTAATTTTTTTTATGGGCAATTTAATTATTTTATTAATTTTTATAAATCTCAGAAAAATATAATATTTTCATGTGTCTAAATCCGAATCAATATTCTCATCTCAAGCAACCTAACCTAACATGGAAATAATAGGTATAAAAACCTAGAACCAAAACAACATAAAGTTATGGAAAGCTAACCTAGCTAACCCGGAAATATTAGTTATAAAAACCTAGAACCAAAATAATAAGAAATTCATATGGAAAGCTAACCTAATATGGAAATATTAGTTATAAAAACCTAGAATCAAAAATAATATAAAGTTCATATGGAAAGCTATTAATTCTCTCAATACAAGAGAATAAATAGTTAAAATAAAATCAAACACAAATTCTTCATAATCGAGTCAAGTTATCACTTAACCAAACCAATTATTCTTGCTTCTTTTAATCTGACAAAAAGAAACTATATTAGAGATGAGATCAAAGAATTCAACCTGTTAAATTTTTTCCATCAGCGTCAAAGTCTATTATTTGTGTTCCACATCCAACCAACCGCATTCTTTCTAAGAATTCTGCTTCATTTGAGTCTACAACGGCATCTCTATTAATTCAACGCATAGAAATGAAGGTTTTCATATCATTTTTAATTGTTTCATTCCCGTTATTTTCAGTACTAGCTACAGTTGACAATTTTTTAAACTGTTTTCCCAATCATGTAGAAAACCCTAATCTAATCTTTGAAGCCATTTACACCCCCAGAAACTCCTCTTTCGACAATGTTCTTCGTGCCTACATTAGAAACCGCCGGTTTCTAACTTCTGAAACACCAAAACCAGTTGCTATAGTTACCGCTAAGCACGAATCGCATGTCCAAGCAACTGTTATTTGTGCAAAATCAAATGACCTGCAAATCAGAATAAGGAGTGGCGGGCATGATTACGAAGGTCTTTCTTATATATCTAACGTTCCGTTTGTGATTCTTGATATGTTCAATCTCCGGGACATAGATATAGATATTATGACGGAAACTGCATGGGTTCAAACTGGAGCAACTCTTGGAGAACTTTATTATAACATTGCTAATAGAAGCAAAGTCCACGCCTTTCCAGCCGGAGTTTGCCCTACAGTTGGCGTTGGAGGTCACTTCACCGGAGGCGGCTATGGGAATATGATGAGAAAATACGGTCTTACTGTCTTTGCCCTACAGTTGGCGCTTTGGAGGTACTCAACCGGAGGGCGGCTATGGGGAAATATGATGAGGAAAATTACGGTTTCTTACTGTCGAAAATTATTGAGCTACATTAAGTGGACGTTAATGGTAATATTCCTTAATATAAAATCTATGGGAGAGGGATCTTTTTTGGGCAATTAGAGGGGGGAGGAAGCAAGTTTTCGGAGTTATCCTTTCTTTGGAAAATTCAAATTGTTCAAGTCCCTAATTATAGTTACAGTTTTTCTAGGGTTGGAAAGAAAGAACATTAGAAGAGGAGCAACTGATATTGTTTATAGATTGTCAAGGAAATCTGCTAGTAAATTAAGATAAAGAAGTTTTCATAAGAGAAATTACATTCAGATTCAAAATAAGACAACTTACAAGCTTCTTCTTTCTTTGGACCTTTTCTTAGGGCCAAACCCAAAACCCCTAATTTCTTTGATGACATGAAACATTTCCAAATATTGGGCTTTAGAGGAAAAGATTGTTAAGGAGTTGAGTATGGGATAGAAATAACATTTTCTGGGCTGAATTTCTGTGGAACATCTATTGATGCTCTTACTCAATAGGAACTTCTCAAACTCAAGATGTAATTTTAAAAGCCGGGTCCGATTATGTGAAAAGCTATAATCCCGACAAGCAGATTGGAGAGATATGGGAAAAATATTAGCGCAAGGTAGAGAACATGTACGTGCAATGGAATCCTTACGGAGGAAGAATGAAGTGAGATATCGGATACTTTGAACCATTTCCTTCATAGAAAGGAATTTGGTTATAAATTCAGTATTCTGCATGGACCGAAGAAGGGAAGAGGCTTCTAAGAATTACAGGAATGAGGCTTCTAAGAATTACATAAATTTGTCAAGAAAAGTTTACGATGCAATGGTTCAATACGTGAGCAAGAATCCAAGAGAGGCTTTTCTTAACTATAGGGATCTTGATATTGGTAGTAACCCTAGCAATCAAACCTATTTTGAGGAAGCAGAAGTTTATGGTAGAAAATATTTTAAGGATAATTTTTGGAGGTTGGTTAATGTCAAGAAAAAAGTGGATCCTGGTAATTTCTTTAAGAATGAGCAAAGCATTCCTTCGTATTATCCAAGGATCGCCCCAGGCCCAGCTCCTTTGATAACGGGGGACTAGTAGGTGGCAGATATTAGGTCGTGGAAAAAACTTATCTAGATCGGTCCATGGAACTAATTAATAAAATTCAGTATTTTTATTAAAACGAGAGTGTTTCTGACCATACACTGAAAAAAAAAATGATAAAATCGAAACACTTTTTAGAAAATATGAGATACCCTAATATATTCTTAGTCTTGGTCAATTAAAATTTTAATTTTAAAAATAATATCATTTTTATTGTAATATTTGATTATAATTTGTTTTGAAAGATTTAATAAAGGGAGAGAGATATATAAGGAAAAAATATTTCATAACAACCAACCGGGAATACAATTGCGGAACTCTACTTTTACATTATAACATCGTCATTTCATATCGTTAACAGTCTTCTATAATATGTCTCAACTCCATATGATTTTCTCATTCTTTATTACCTGAAAAAAATAGGTAGGCAGGAGCTTGAGCCGCCAAACTCAATAGATAGGTTTAGATAACCCTCTCACCCCACACAATCACACAGATGCTAAAAATATTTTGTCTGGTCACCGATTAATTTGATGATCATGCAGTTACTGTCAACCAAATCGGCATACAACAGCAAATCCACATTATTATCACCTTCATATTACATCACTCACGTGGAAATTAGTCAGTGGAGGTTTCAACCGCAATCCCCCATGAGCCGTCCTCCCACATGGCCCATCCTCCTCACGTTGTGCACCAGGAAGCCGATTTTTTTTCCCCCATTCTGCCGCCGGTCTTACTCCTCACTTGACCAGCCCTTCTCATTGTTTTTTCCATTCTCATTTATTTTTTTTTTTTTTTTTTTTTTTACCACCACAGGGAGGGCACCGTCGTCTCCATTCAAATCTAGATCATCAGGCGCTCAACAACAGCGGAGGAGGCCCCTGCGGGCTGCGATACAAACCTAGATTATCCGGTGCGCCCCAAATAAGAAGCCAACCAAAGAATGTGTAACAACGGAACGTAGGTGCACACGGGGGCCGCCGATCTCCCATTACCCGCGTGCTAACAGTAATTCGGTTCAGGATTCATATAACACAGTACAATCTCACAAACCCATGGTGACCCACTTCACTCCAATTCCACGCACCAAAACAAGACACACCAACATCAATTCAAATAATCAACAATAAAATATCCAATAAATAGTGCATCACAATAATGGCAATGAAGCGATGATAACATTTAGCCGTGAATGCATGAATGCAGGCGGATGGAGGCGATTTATCCAACCACTACTCAACAGTTCTTTATTGTCCTCGAAGGGAACGCTTTCTAGGTCACACCTCGCTTCGGAGCCTTGTCCTTGCATTACGGGAGTTTTATAACCCTTAACATAAACAATAACATTACTTAAGTTAAGAATTTTAAATTTTTTGAAATTCTATTTCATATCATTTAATAGTTTGGGTTACCAGTTTCATTAATTCACTTATTAATTTAAACTATATATATATTTATAAATATAAAATTGGGTTTCCTTATTTATTTATCATTCTGATAATTCTTATTCTATATTTTTAATTTACTATAAAACATTTAATTCTCTATAAGTAATTTAATTTAGTTATATAAATTTTATTTCTCTACCGGGAAATTTCAGCAGCATTTCCCCTAAAAATTCAACTTATCCACCAATTAAACTCAAATCAGTCAACTAATCAAATTCTCCACAGCCCCATCCATCGGGCATCAATTCAGTCAAATTTAATCCATCCTCCATTATTCTAATTATCACCATTAATTCATAATTTTTTTTTTTTCCTTTAATTCCATAAGTTTTAATTGTTTATCAAACATTCCCCCCCCCCCCCCCCCTTTTTTTTTTTTTTTTTTTTTATTTTGTTACCAACAAAAAATTTTTAAAACCACAATTTCAACAGTTTTTCAACTGCCATGTAATACTAGAATTAAATTTACATTTAATCAATTGCTAAATTAAAATTAACTAATCAATATTGCTAACAATTAATTTAATTAAACTAAAATTTAGCCAAATTAAATTAATTAACTACAATTACTAAAAGTAAATTAATTAACTAAAATTACTAAAATTAATTTATACCCCAAAATATAATTTTTTTCTTGCTAGATCAGGGATTTACGCGTGCCCGATTGAAGCTACACGCACTGGGACAGCAAGTGGGTGGCGCGATCTGACTGGCAGTGGCAGAGAAGCGGCAGCGGTGACAGATCAGACCTGTCGGAGGCGCGCTGGAGCGACAGCAGTGGCAGCGACAGGCTGTGGCATTGCTGCAGAGGGCTGGTGGCGGCTTGACGAACTGGAGATCGTGCTGCGTTAGGGGCTGCTGTGCGCTGCACGATCTGGCAGAGGGTGGAGCGCCGCTGCTGGCGTGATGCGACGAGGAGCGACGGAGGAGTGGTGCTGGCGCGCGACGGCTCCGCTCGAGCTGGTGGAGGCGCACGATCCGCTTTCTGCCAGCAGTGGGAGTCACAAAGCGCAGTGAAGAAAAAGAGAAAAGAAAGAAAAGAAGAAGAAAAGGGAGAAAAGAAGAAGAAGAGAGGAGGACGAGGGCTGCTGGTGGCGTCTGGTGGCGTGCGTGGTGGTCAGACGGTGCTGGACTGACGGAGTGAGATGAGTTTAGCCGTGAAAGATAAAAGAAAGAAGATGTTTCTAGATGATTTGGGATCGATTTCAGTTCGATTCGTTCGAATCTTTTGGGTTTGCATTGATTTTTCGAATTTTTAAAACTGCATTTTTCAATTTTTCAGTTCGGTTTATCACAGTGCGAAGTATTAATTTGCATTTAAATAATTAAATACATTTTCCACGCTGTCAGTTTATTAAATTTAAATGAAAAATCGTTGAAAATAAAAATTCGGGTTATTTCAGTCTTCCCCCCTTATAAAAAAAATTCGTCCTCGAATTTTGAAAATAACAAGAAACTAGGATGCAACAGTTGCTTACGACAATGGTGGTTGTGCTTCTCACATAATGTTGCAACTGCTAAAAATTATTACATTCACATTCTAAAGAATACTAGGGTGAATCAAAAGGATGAGATAAAAATTTTTGAGTTCAGAGTGGTGAAACTATTTTTATTTTTTTATTATTTGTGAAACTAATTTTTATTAGATTTATTAATTAAGACAACCCAATAAACAGGCACGGGAAGAAAATCTAATTTATAGAGAGGGTAGGATGATTATGAGCTGAACTCATCCCCAAAGTTTAGATATTTTCCTTATCACCAAAATTAATTTAAATTTGAGTTGTACTATATCCACAATTCGTCAACTCAAGTCAAATATTCATAACCCAAGGCACAGATTCGACGCTAATATTCACCTTTACACGTAAGAATTTAAGTCCCTTATAACCTCTGCTCAAGTAAGAATTATTAATCTCATTAGTTATATATCATGTAATCCACATTGATGTATTGCCTCATTTATCTCTCACTGGCTATTATAGGCAATGATCATCACTCAATAAATAAAACACTCATACACACCAAGTCCTTACTGATACAAGATCCACATATTCAATAATTTACTAACTATGCCAATTTAGAATCCTTATTTCAAAATTCAACACCTACATGTTGACTCGTCCATGTTTCCATCAATTCTCAAATATTGGAATAGATCATTACTGACTCAGTAATCATGGAACAGTTTTATAAATTAGATAAGATGCGTTGTTGCCAATTCAAGCAGGTTTTTCCGATTATTATCAATTTGGCTATGAAGTACTATTTTGAGTCAATTTCCAATTAGAAGAGAACAGAATTCTTACCACTACCTTACAAGCTTTATTTCGAAACAAAATCGTGACATTTTCTTTCTAGCTAATTGCTATCCAAACTGATAGGGATATCCTGGCTTTCTATCGCCAAGGTCACATCACCTCTTTATACTTAACCTTTTTTCCAACGGCAAAGATAGGATTTATACAATCTCTTTTCAAAATCCTACTAATGAGAATCCCACAAAAACAAGTAGTATGCATCAATTATGTAGAGAGAATTTAAATTGACCATCAAGTCCCTATTTTAGTTATTAACTTCTCTATCCCTCTTCCCAAATTGTCATACCATACCATTTCTTAACTAATTATGACAATAATTTATGCGACTAGCCAAGTTAGCTGTTGTCATGCCGAATAATTCTTAATTTATACCTAATACAATCTAGGAATATCCTCATCCTCAATTATG